GAGAGAGAGAGAGAACCTATTTCTAAAATAGTAATTAGTAAACATGTATTAAATTCACAATTACCTAAATACAAAAATTAAATTGTTCAATTAAAGAAAAGAAACCTTCAACACTGACGGATCCCTCGTGTCATATATGCAGGTCGAAATAAGAAAGGCGGAAAGGGATGTGTATGCAGCAACTATTGATGATAGAGTAACGGTAAAGATTGGCCCAGGGCATTATGAGCCTCCATCTGGTTCTCAAAATTGGAGTCTGATTGCACAAGGCCAGGATTATAAGGTATGGGAGGTGCTCTAAACTGCATGTTCATAATTAGCCATTGTACACTAAATAAACTTGCATTGTAATTTGGGTCTCTAAATGATCACTTGGTCCATAATTTAGAGACCAAGCGCATTCATTTTCCACAATATTATTTATGTAAGATATGAGAGAAACATATGTTGTAAAAGTTGATCTTATCATTGCTATAAAAATATATTTATATAGACATTCCATATTTATCATTTTTTTCACCTCTTTGAGTTTACATCCCCATGATTCTGCTTTGTGACTTGGTTATTTACAGTTCGGATACATGTTATTGAGAATATACTGCACAATCTGGCGTTTCTCACTCTCCATTTGGCCGAATATTGCGAGAGACATATAGCCCAATTGACAAAACCACAATTGTTGAGATTATAATATTTTTATTCCTGTTTATGATCTCCAAAATCCCCTCTACAAATCCATTCTCAAATTGCTTCTCTGTTCTTCTCTCTTCCTTCTCCTTGCTCCCTTCTGTTTTCTTACTTTCTCTTTCTTTATTCTTGTTGGCCTCGTCGTCAGTATTGTCATCGTTCTCATCGCTATTCTTGCCATCGCTCTCCTCATCACTACTATCTTCACTGTGATCATGGGAACTTGTATGATCCTCGCTACCATCATCGCTATGGTCATCATGATGTTTATGATGATCGTCCTTCTCTTCATGCTTTTTGTCCTCGGTAATCTTGCTATCAATGGCCATCTCTTTGTGTCTTTGTGGACTCCTTTCTCTAATTCTTGGCATGATTATGTAGAGAATGCCATGGTCAAACTTGGCGCTTATTTGTTCGAAATTTGAGTCTCCTGGCACAGTGAAGACTTGCTTGAAACGTGCGAATGTGTTGCCACTTATATGCCTCTCTCCACTGGTCGTTATGTTTCCGAAATTGTCGAGCTGGACCCTCACCTCCTCTTTCCTGAAGCCTTTCATAGCAAGAAACAGGGCTCATGTTAGATAACACTTAATTCCATGCTAAATATAATTGATGCTAACAATGTTGGAGACATTGGGATCTTTTCATATAAATGTCATCGATAAAATGTAACAGAGACGGGATAAACATTCGAGTTCTCATGGTTTAAGAACAACCACCCCACAAAATGACCTGCTTTCTGCATTGTGTTCTTGTTGGAGAGAGAGAGAGAGAGAGAGAGAGAGAGAGAGAGAGAGAGCTTATCCAATTCCCCCAGTTAGAGAATGCCCAAATTTGGTTGAAATGTTGTTGGGGTTTCATTCTATTGAATACTTTCTTTGTTAGATTTTTTTCTTGAGAATTTAATCTTTTTGCTTGTATCAGGCCAAGAACCCCTGTTTTAAATCCTTAATACAAATTTTCCTAAAGAACAAAAACGAGGAAAATAAATCTACATAAATACCAGGAAGATCAAGAAGAAGAATGTGTGCTTCGGAGTCCCGATTCCAATCAAATGTCGGATGGATTTCTTCATATTGCATTTGGGAGGAACTCCCATTTCCAGTTCGTGTCCGCCCTCTATATTCCATCAAATATCGTCTCTCTAAAATATCTTTTTCTCTCTCAAGAATTCTTCTTTCTTTCCAAGAACTTGGTCTCTCAAATCTTGTTGGTTTGCAGCTCAAGGTGCCATGGATTTATAATCTGAATTCCCATAAGCTGTCTGAAAAAAATCATTTATTTTTAAAAAAAGATTGCCTTTTCTTGTGAAATAACTCATAATATGATTCCAAGTCTTTTGTGGAGGGAAACGTTTGAAATTCTTTGCTTTCTCGGCAACCCAGGGCTTGGTTTTATTGAGTTTGGGTATTGATTCATGTGGGCCCGATGCATGACATGTGTATATTGCAAAGCCATGGTGGTTTTTGAACCGTTGATATGGCTTGGAGAGAGAGAGAGAGCAGGTTTGAGACTAAATAACAGAAGTAAACTAATTTGATTCTCAGAAAGTCTAGAATCCAACTAGTAAGAAGAGGAACGTAGAGAGACAAAGAAATATTGAAAATTTGACTTTAAATTTCACAGATTTTATGAGTAAAAAAAAAAGAAATGAAAAGAATTCAAAAAGCAATTTAAAGGTGCAAAGAGATGAAGAAAAAAAAAGAAAAGAAAAAAAGAAATAGACAGGAGAAACAAAACAAATTAGAGGAAAACAAGGAAATAAAATTGGAAATAGAAGAAGCAAGAAAATTAAACTGTAAACGTATAAAGGAAAAAAAAATAATAAAAATCACTGAAATGCTCAGGAAAATATACACGTAAAAAACTCTAAAAGTTGATGAGGAATAAAAGATGGAAATTTTTTTTTTCTATTTTTTGGAGAGTGAGAGAAAGAGTTTCAAGCGTTCAACCCTGCACCCAGCAGCGAAACTGTGAAACTCGTTTTAAGGGGTTTTTTTTTTTTTTGTTTATTATTATTATTATTATTATTATTATTATTTTTAACAATCGAGAGAATTTCTAGCAGTGCTAAAAAAAGTTGTCGAGTCAATGTACACTCGCCCGAATCGGTTCTGGGGGTTCTCGGTTCTAGATGGTCTCCAACCGGGAAATCCCACGATTTGTCCAAACTCCAAAACCATGCAGTTCATTGCAGGAAGGTTTTTGAGTCCCAAGTATTTCTCTTTTCTTAGTAATATTGATTCTTGATTTAATAAAAATGGCAAGCCAACGATCTTGATTCTTGATTTAATAAAAATGGCAAGCCAACGATTAAGGCCAGGAACCGTTAATCGAATATAGGGCTGGAAGCGGTTCAATCGTCCTAACCGGAGAAGTTTTTGGTGGTAAAAAATGTGTTAAAAAAAATACAAAAAAATCTAATAAAATATAAAAAATATATTTAAAATATGATTAAACAAAGCACATGTAAATGAAATTAAAAATTAAGGGAAAATAATGGATTCTTAAACAAAGCATATCCAAATGAAATTGAAAATTAATGGATTTTAAAGAATCGATTTGTTCCCAAAAGTATTTTTTAATTTTTTTTGAAAAAGATGAGAAAATACAAAAATAAGCATTAATGGCCCAAACAATTTCCAATATTTGCCAAAATGATGAAAACATTAAACAATGCATTACAAACAAAATTTCCTTATTTTTTGAGATTTTATATATTTATTTTTAATTTCCAGCCGGTTCTCCAAAATCAGTCGAAATCGGAACCGGTTCCAATCTAACAGGTTTAACTGGGTGGTTAGAATTTGAACCACCTGATTTTTCCTGCATTGATCGAGGCATTTTATCCTTTTCGTTGCCATCATGCAATAAGTTTTTTTTTTGGTTCAATAGTTAGGATCGATTTCATGGTTGTGGTGGTAGCACTACTTGTACCCTAACGAAGGTTTTGGTTTTCATTCTCACCTAATGCCTTAAAAAACGGTAGGAGCTTATCAGTTGGGATGTTTTAAGGCTTCATTTTTTTTTATCAAGATCAATGTTTTTAAACTTAGTTCGGGCCTCAGACTTTGGCCTGGTACCGAGTAGCTTGGATCGAACTCTGCCGAAAAATGGACAGGGGCCAAAAGGCCCTAAAAAGTTTTAAAATATTAAAAAATTTGTTAAAAAAATAAAATTCTTAAAACTGAAACATAACCAAAAAAATAAAGTTCAAATAAGTTGAAAATATGAAAAACACAATTTAGAAAAAAAATGATTTACTATTGCACATATTCGGGAAAAATCCAAAAAAAAAGGAAAAAATATATATCATTTTAAAAAATCCAAATTACATATATAATTTTATACATTAAAAAAAACTCTCTAACATATATATTTTTTTTAAAAAACTCATTGGCAATTTGAACATGAAAGAAACATATCACTTCACTTAAAGTAGCCCTAAAATCTCAAAGCAACTCAGTGGAATTTGCAATAAATAAATGACCAAATACTAGTTCAATCTATTAAGCTGGATTGCAATTTTTAATATTCACGTTCCCAAGACATAAAACATTACTGTCAACTTTTTCATTCATAAAATTTAAAACATATTTATTGTTTTCGAACTTTAAAACATATTTATTATTTTCGAATATTATTATATTTATATGACAAAGTATATATCTGACATCATTTACTTTTGGTTCAAGGTAATCACAATTAATCTTGACCATTGACCATTGAATGTGAAATGGGATGGGTGCATTTATTCCTTAGATTGAGCTCAAACTTAAAAAAAAAATTTCTTTGTTTTATAACACGCTAAAGATATCAAATTTCACATCATATAATTATAAGTCTGACACAATCTCTATTTATATTTTGGAAAAGGTTAAAATAAGGCTAATGCTTTATAGAAAAAACAAAAAAAACCTCTCCTTGAACTCATCAAAAAATATGGTTCTCGCATCGAAAAATCTTCAATTCGATCGTCTCGACCTTGATCATTATTGTTGCGAGAAATATAGCATACATTACAACACATTATCTAGACCGTCCATTATCAAGTGTTTACATATCCATACCATCAATATCATTTTTAAGCTATAAATTTTTTAGCTATTCATTTTTTAGCTATAAAATTTAGCTATAAAATTTTCAGCCATCGTAAGGGGTTTTTCATGCCCGAAGTGTTTTTTAGGCAAGATTTTGACGTGAGGCTTTGCTTCTTTTATTTATATATATATATAAGGCCTAAAACCTTATAAGAAAAGGATCCTATTTATTGATTTAGTTTATTAAACCATAATAATAACCAAAATATTCCCAATAAAAGACAAACATAATAATATCCCAATGAAACTCTCTCCCAATATTATCTCCAAAATGATTATCATCCATGTTTATGTGCATTGAATCCAATTTTTGGTGAAGCTCTTACAGAGGCCACCCATAATTAAGCTAAGTCTCTTAGAGAGAGAAACTCTAACCTTAATTTTGAAAGCATGTGCTAGAGAGAGAAACCTCAGCTTTGATTAAGCAAGCATGTCCTAGAGAGAGGGACGAGGCTACCAGCCCCTTAATTTAGTGTAATTCTAGAGAGAGAAACTGTAAGGCATGTGTAGAGAGAGAAAGAGAGACCAAATAATGTGTCTCCTAAGCGTTAGGCGTCTGTTTTGCCCAATGCCCGAACCATCTCCCCATCCAACCAACACCCATCATCAGTTTCTCTCTCATGGCTCCCCTCCAATGTCGCCCTTCATCACCCAAAGACCCATTCTACCCACTTTCTCCCTCTACTTTCTCTGTGAGTCTCTCTAAGCTTATATATCCTCCCTCCTCTATAATTTGCCGACACCATGCGAACCGAGCAAAGGATGCGATACTGAGAAGCGGGTCTCGGTTCGGTCTGGTCCGGTCTGTGGAGAATTTCCAGACCTTGCCCCTGTCCGTAAACAACCAGGCATGGGGCTCATGGGGCTTTTTGGTCTTTTTGTTGTCCTTGTCTTGGCCTCCTCTTCTTTTACAGTGCCTAAGGCAGAGGCTCACATTGCTGATTTTGATGAGACATGGCAAAACAGGTCTGCCATAGCTCGGCAAGTTGCTTTGGAGGCTTATGTCCATGAACCTCACAATGTAACCGACCATGTCAACCATATGGTGCACAAGTAATCTCTCTTTCTCTCTCTCACTCTCTACATGGTGCACAATAATTCTACGCTTTTTTTTCTTTTTTTTTTTCTTTTTTTTTTGGGTAAATGAGCGAGGAAAAAGATCATCTTCCTTATTTTCATTAATAAAAGATAAAAAAAAAAAAATTTTGTATCTTACCATTTTACAACCCTACAATAATAATTCTACGCTTTTTTTTCTTTTGTTTTTTTTTTTTTTTTTTGGGTAAATGAGCGAGGAAAAAGGTCATCTTCCTTATTTTCATTAATAAAAGATAAAAAAAAAAAAATTTATATCTTACCATTTTACAACCCTACAATAAGATAATACGCCGTATCATGAAATGAAAAGATTTTACTCTCTCTCCTCTTGTCTTGCTCATCAGCTGCATGGTGCACAAATGTTTCTACTCCCTCTGTTTTTTATAAGTTTTGAGTGGTTAGTAAAGAGTTTTGTATTAAAAATTGAATTCAAGACATCATATTGTGGTATGCTACTCTTTATCTAGCCTCAAATGTATTCCTATCTAAATGTTCTCCCCCACTTTTTCACTTGCTCTTGTTAACCATGTGCCGCACAAATATTTGTATAATGTTCTAAAAAATGGATTAGAAAGTAGATTGCCCACCTACCAATACTCATTTAGATCGGTGATCTAAAAAAAAAAAATAACCGTTAAAATAATGTTGGAACCATTGTCCTTATGATTGGCAAATGCATGTTCTAGCCAATACAATCATCTTGACTCATCATTATCATGTACATGCCATATAATATATACTATCAAATTGCCGATTCTAATAAAGAATCAATGATTCCCAATCCAAACCGATGATCTTTTAATCGGTGTTTTTACTTTTTGCCTCTTTCATCTCTCTCTCTCTCATCCTTCTCACCTTTGTTTTCCTAGGTTGAGAGTCGAACACACGGTGCCTTGGTAATAATGCAAATTCTCCTTTCTATATATATATATATATATATATATATATATATGAATGTGGTTTTTATAAAGTCACCTCCAAATTTTATCATAACATGTAATTTTGGTATAAAATATTCTTAAAAAACCATATATTTAGTGACCTGGTGCAATAAATATATCATAGTATAATGCAACCATATTTCTAAAAAAACCATATTTGTAGGATTTGTATGATCCAAAATTTTACACACGCACTCTCTTCATCTTAATAATCAATCTAAAAAAAAAACACTAATCTGCACCCTTTATATGGTCAAAATGAGTTCCTCCAACAATGAATCTAGACCGCCCATTCGATGAATTTCAAGATCGAGGCATTTTTGAATTCAAAATCATTTTTTTGTTTTTTAATATTATTAATCTAATGATAATAAAGTTATCTAAAAATTTGAAAAAAAAAAAATCTTTATAAGGTCTAGATCTAAGCATTTCACCAAAATAGACAACCTATGTTAACCGGGCTAAAAAGTACTTTCTAAGATGCGTTTTCAAATTTTTCTTTTTTTATGATGGTTCATTAGAATGAAAAGAGTGAATATTTTAAAATTTGGATCAAATAAATGGCCTTAATATAGTTTTTGAAGATTATTACATTATATTACGATATAACTGTTACATTAGATCACTGCCCTACTCTAGTCTTCAAACATATCTGAATTATATATATATATATATATATATATATATAAAAGTTACTCTTTAATAGCTATTTCCTTTCTCTCTCCTCAAACCCTCAATGTATAGCTATTAAGTTTCTCTCTCATTCCATGACAATGGCAAATGCAGGGCCTTAGAGGGCAACAGCACCCGCCGGCACTTGGGCAAGTACACGGGAGCATGCATGGCTACCAACCCGATCGATAGGTGTTGGCGGTGCCAACGCAATTGGGCCCGCGACCGCAAGAGGTTGGCAAAGTGTGCCCTTGGGTTTGGTCGGAAGACCACCGGCGGCCTTAAGGGCAGATTCTATGTTGTCACTGACGCCTCCGACGAGTCACTTACTGACCCTAAACCAGGTATGATTCTCTCCCTCTATCTCAAACATATGCTTTTTTTTTATTCTTAGGAATTATTCGGTCAACCATTTATTTCAATTGAAATTATTGCATATGACTTTATAATTCAAATTGAACTGAATTTGATTGGAAGTCAAACGCAATAATTTCAATTTGAATTTCATTGGAAGTCAAACGCAATAATTTCAATTTGAATTAGTAGTTGACCCAATAATTCCTAACACACACTCTACTCTACAATCTATCAAAATAATCCTTCTCTTTCTACCCATCACTGACTCCCCTCTCTCTGTCTCTGTCTCCGACCCGAAACCAGGTACACTCCGTCACGCTGTGATCCAGGACAGGCCCCTATGGATCACCTTCAAACACGACATGATCATACGGCTCACGGAAGAGCTCTTAGTGAACAGTCACAAGACCATCGACGGCAGGGGAACCAATGTGCACATAGCTTATGGAGCAGGGATCACGATCCAATACCAGAAAAATGTGATCATACACGGCCTTCACATCCATGATATCAAGGCAGGGAATGGGGGCATGATAAGGGACTCCCCTGAACACTATGGTCTGAGGACTAAGAGTGATGGGGATGCAATCTCCATATTTGCATCTTCCTTTGTATGGATAGATCACAACTCCATGAGCAATTGCATGGATGGCTTGATTGATGCTATCATGGGCTCAACTGCCATAACCATCTCTAACAACCACTTCACTAACCACAATGAGGTGAGACACCTCTCTCTATATTCTTTTTTTTTTTTTTTTGATGAGGGGAAAGGGTCCGTACTTATAGTAAAAATAGAACTCAAGACCAATGTTGTCAGAATCGTTTCGGATTCTTCTTCAGTTTTGTGGAAAAAACAAAGCAATTTGGTGCTTCCGCCAATTTGAAAAAAAATTCATTTTTTTTTAATTTAATACAATAAATTAGAATCATATATAGAATATATAAAAATAAAAAAGATATTGTAATGTAGATATTTTTTTACTTTGGCTGAATCGTCCCGAAGCTAACCAAAGCAATAACACCAAATTTCACTTCGCTTTTACCTAAACTTAAAAAAATCAAAATCGGCCAAAGCAAAGTGAATTTGACATGTTGTGGCACCCACCACCGTATACACCTGAGTCCATCCCTACTTTTTTCTCTCTCCCTTGAGATATGTACATATATGGTTTTCTATCTCTCTCCTTATATTCTATATTCTCTCTATCTCTCTCTACAGAGTTCTCACTCTCTATTCTATGCATGCATGGGACTCTCTCTCTCTCTCTTTGCATGGGATTCCTCTAAATGCATGGAAGTGAAGTGAAGATGTTAAACATGAGATGCAGGTGTCGCTGATGGGAGCAAGCGACAGTTTCTCTGATGACAAAATAATGCAAGTCACTTTTGCCTTCAACCACTTCGGAAGAGGACTCATCCAGAGGATGCCCAGGTTTGCCTTCTAATTCACTTTACATTTTAGAGAGAAAGAGAGAGAGAGAGGGTTAAACCAATTCAGTTTCAGTCAGTTTCAATGAGAGGAAGAGAGAGTAAAAAGCAATTCAGTTCAATGAGAAACACCACCATGGTAGCATGTGTGAAATGGGTCCTCTCTCTGTCTCACTGGATATTTGGTTATATAATTTTGCTGAATATTGTTTGTTACACAGATGTGGGTTCTTTCTCTCTCTAGGTATGTAGGTAGTTGTGTGAAATGTTTGAATAAATAATGTTAGGGGTTGATTACAGATGCAGATGGGGTTTCTTCCATGTGGTGAACAATGACTACACTCACTGGGGTATGTACGCCGTTGGTGGGAGCCAGCACCCCACTATCATCAGCCAGGGCAACCGCTACATCGCCCCTACCGCCAACTATGCAAAGGAGGTATCTCTCTCAATTCATCTCTCTCTATCTATTTATCAAAAGAGGTAACTCTCTCTCTCTCTATGTTTTTCTATCAAAAGAAGTATCTCTCACTCTCTCAATTCATCTCTCTCTCTATCTATCAAAGGAGGTAACTTTCACTCTCAATTCATCTCTCTCTCTATCTATCAAAGGAGGTAACTTTCTCTCTCTCTCTCAATTCATCTCTCTCTATCTATCAAAGGAGGTAACTTTCTCTCTCTCAATTCATCTCTCTATATATATCTATCAAAGGAGGTCTCTCTCTCTATCTATCAAAGGAGGTAACTTTTTCTCTCTCTCACAATTCATCTCTCTCAAAAAATAAATATATATATATATCAAAAAGGTCTCTCTCTCAATTCATCTCTCTCTATATCTATCAAAGGAGGTAACTCTCTCTCGCTCAATTCAACTCTCTCTCTCTATATCTATCAAAGGAGGTAACTCTCTCTCGCTCAATTCAACTCTCTCTCTCCATATATCTATCAAAGGACGTAACTCTCCCCCTCTCTCTCT